GATGTATTTCCTTTTCCTCTTGTGGCTTTTGAGAGAGGCAGTGCAGCATGGGGTTAAGGATGAAGGCTCTCGAGTGGCAGCCTGCGTGAGGACTGCATCTTCCAAATTCTGTGGCCTCATTTATACTCCTGGTTCCTCCTTGTCTATAACCTGTGATTAGTATCAGTGTCCATCTCATGGGCTTTGCATGTGAAGCATGCAGAATGAAGATCACATTGTAAGCACCCCGATAAACATTCATTTTTATTATCTGTTAGGTTTCCTAAGCATAATAGTACATTCAGGAAATCCTGGCACACTTATTATAGAAGCAGAGTGTAGAATCAGTCACTCTCCAATTCCAGTTCTTATCCTTTCTTCTCTAATTCAAGCCCCATGCAAAGCTACTGGCGCCCATATCCTTTAAAATATGATAGACTAGATTTGGTTACATTTAAAAATGGTAGTAACTTCATGAATATTTTCTCTTCTAAAAAAGCTAAATCTAAATTATTTTCTGTGATTCAAGTTCTTCTTAAGGGTTCATGTTGTGGGTTTTAGTAAGTGATGGGTAAAGGATACCACAAATAATCAAGAAAAAATTAGTGACAAAATAAATAAACACACACTGTCATTTAGAGATTGCTATTACATGCCAGTCATTGTGTTAAGTACTTTTTATGGATTAATGTAGTTTACAGATGATTCTGTGCTTATTTATTATTTCATTTGATGGTATATGATTATAGCAGAGGAAATGCAATCCTGTTTTCTTTCTGCCACTCCCTGTGGAAACTAGTCATGCTCTGTATTGATCCCTATTTGCATGTGATTGGACAGTGCCCTCTGAAAGAGAGCACAAGGTCTTGGAAGGTGGGTGGTGCCATACATTGAATGTGGTTTCTCCATCCATCAGGGCAACTCGTTTCAGCTCTATGAATACAGTAAATACTTAAATAAAGACATACATTCAAATGTTCTAAAAGTCACTATTTAAGATATGTTTGCAGAAAGGTAGTATAAGGATTAAGGATCAAAAGCAAAAACCTGAGCACCTTGATTTAATCACTTGTATATTTACTGGAATGCACTTTTTTTTAAGCTTTCAGCTTTTTCTTACACAGCATAGATGTTGACAAAAACCCTGTTTTCCATCTGTATATGTCAACTTGTAAATAAAATCTGAAAAAAAATGTTTGTTTTGGAATGTTTTAAGAAATGGTACAAGTTGAGAATTCAAGGCTGTTTATATTGCATCTTAAATACATTTCTGTGTGCTATATATCTTTTTAAGATTACTTTTTTTTTTGGCTTGACAACAGTAGTCATTTTATGGTTAGCATAGGCAGGCATTTCTCTTTGCAAATTTGATTTGTTTTAACTATTTTTATTGTTCCCCTTTTCTTATAAAACAGATTCATAATATTTCTTGTGCCTTTTTTTGTTTTTGATATGCTTTTTCAAAGTATGTTGCTCAGAACAGTAATTTAATTAGATAGCCCTCAAGAATGAACCCTATAGTCAAATATGTTTGGAAAATGCTTCATGGAATATGCGTTTAGTAGGTTCACAGCATATATTAAAATAAAAAGATTTATGTATGTATTTGAGAAGAATAAAATTTATAAGTTCTCAAGTAAAGGAACATTAAATTTTCCTTATCAAACATTTCCTAACATTTTTCGATCTCAGATAACTCTCCTCTCCCCCATACCTAGGGATGATACTTAAAATATTTAACAGCCAGTACATTAGCTCAACTGTCTGTCTCTCATCCGCTCTTTCAGAGCCCAGATCCCTAGAGGGCTGCAGTTCCCACCGTTGACCATGCAAAGCATAACTGGAAGCATCTGTTAGCTGGGAAGGGGAGTTTGCAGATGGGCACTGGGAATTGCTTTCCAGGGTGCAGTGCCTTCTCCAAGGTCACTGTCTCCTCCACTGGGGCTCAGGCTGATTGGCATAGGCACTAACCAATCAGAACAGGTGCTCCTCTTAGTGCTGAGCAAATTTCTTGAGGACCTCTGCTGTGCCTTCAGTCTTTTGGTTGCTGGACTGTGAGGAAATCTAGGTCTCCAAGGGAGAGGCCATGTGGTAAGACTGGCAGAAGTGCTACTTGGAGAACTTAGCGCAGTAACTATTTACCAACTGGTCTGCAGATATTAAATATTTTCACTTCTGTACCCTTGAATCGATGTATCCTGGCCGACTGTTAGTATTGCCCATGATGCATGTAGCACTATCTAATTCTAATTTTGTGGGACAACTTTGAACAACTGCTAGTCTGTGCAGTTTTGGGCATGTGGAAATGCATAATTTTTTCTCTCTCTGTTAATTATTACAATGCCATAATGTTTAAACACTTAGCTCTGCTGGAATTGAGAATTAAATTTTGATTCAGTTGCTGAGCTTTGAAAAATCAAGGGGCAAGAGACAGCATTAAACAATGGTGGCAGACACCTTGAAGGATCTGGACTGGTGATATTATAATAAAGGGAAAGTACTCAATGACATATTGTAAGCTCTCTGAAAAGAAAGTTACTAATGTATGTCTGAGCTGGTCACTCTATTATCATCCTGTCACATTGAGATTTCAGCTAAACACACACACACACACACACACACACACACAAATGAGAATGATTCCATGTAGATTCCTCATGGAGTCATCCTCATTTGCCCTTGTAGAGTATACTTTTTTAATGTAAACACATCCATTAAATAGCTCAAGGATCAAGTTGATAGAAATGATAAGAAACTAATTATTGCCCCGCATAGACTGGTTCCTACTTCTCTAGCCTCCATTCCTATTATCCCACTAGGAAAATTAAACCATTCTCTCATCTCCAACATAGTCCTGCTGACGTCCACCTGTGGCCGGGCAGCATGTGCCAGTGGTGCCATATTTTCACACACTCTCCTCCTCCCACTACCACCACCCTCCCCCAATAGATTTTTGCATCTATTTGTTGGTTCTTGAACTCATGAGTATTGTTTAGAATAAAGATTAGAAAAAGTTATCTGATGAAAGGAGCTAGAGAAAGGCTAGTGAAATTTTGGAGACAAGTCTTAGGAAGGAGGGGAAGTTGACCTAGGAGTAGGGGAAAAATATGTCAAACACCAAGATTCAACTGAGTGAAGAAAGAAGTCTCAGGTATTTCTTAGAGATCTGGAGGAAATTTCGCATCAGCATGAGTTTGAGGGGGGAAAAAGACAAATATGGAAGGAGGATCTAAAGAAATTTGTGGTTTATGGATAAGATCTGTGAAAGTTTTGAATGCTCTTCAAATATTCTTGGATATCAAACCACTGTTTGTTGGATTGGGATAGAGAGCAGGCTAGTCCAGAAGAAAGCCAGTTATATATTTGGGTAACACAAGGTGTCCTCTAGTTCATGATGCTCTGCTCTGATTACTTCCCTTTCCTAAAACCCTACCCATTTTCCATTTTGAAGTACAATAGTTCTTCAAGAAACTTTACATAATACCCCAATCTTCTCTGATTTGCAAGTCACCTAAATTCTATAAAGTGTTGACTATTATCTAATTATATATAATTGATTATTTAATTTATAATATAATTAATTAATATAAACACGCACACACACACACACACACACACAAACTTTAGGGGGAAAATGCCCTAGATCTCCTCCAGCCAGATTAAATTCTTAATCCCTTAATGCAGGTTCATACATTATGCAGCTTTCATGCTCCAGTCCCTGGTCCAGGGTAGCTTCTTAATGCATGGTGATGAGGTTGTTAACACAAACTTCTTCTAGTAGTCTCCATGGCCTGTAGGAATTTATGCTTTTATCACTATCAGGAATGAATTAAAATGGTTGCATTTTTTATTTCTGTTTAAACCAACTTTAATGTCTAAACCTTATTAATTCTTATCTATAGCATTGAACTAAACACATTATAGCCTTATATTTCTTTCTCTCACATAAAGCTGTGAGATTTTTGAGAGTGGGGGCAATGTGTTGTATCCTGGTACATAGCACAGGGTCTGGTACATTTTAGGAATTCTACAGATGTAAATGAATGAATGGATGAATTGGGATCTCCTATATGTAAAAAGAAGGCCAAGAGGAAGTCGTATGTTTCCTTTAAATTGAAGCAAACAAAAACAATGGAAAAACTGTGGTATAGAGTAACACAGGGCTTAGGATCAGAACACCTGGATTCAAATGTTACCTGGCAATTTATCAGCTGTTTTCTTTGAATAGGTCACTTAGGTTCTGTCAACTACTTTCTTTAAATACAGATAATATTTCCTCCTGCACATGGTTGTAATGATGATCTAATGAGATTACAATTCTGAAATATGTAATAAAATTTGATAGACATGCTGATTAAAGCCTATTGATTCAGTCAGAATTAATAAGTTATTAACCAAGGGCTAGATAAAGATGAGAGAATCTTCAAAAAAGATAGGTCAGTGCCAAGAAGTAATGTCCTCCCAACTACAGGTTGCTTAACACCAGAAAAGGCCAATGAGTAAGGCTGTGAAATTTCCTTATTATTAAGATGTTTTCTTACTCTTAAATAATAGGAAAAGACTGAATGACCTTTGAAGGGACTGACCCACCATATATTCTATGACTCATGAAAGGAAACGCAATTTGTAGATAAATCAGGAGAACCTGCTTTTCTACTGTGCCAAAGATAAAGCAAAAGTTTGAAAATGTCAAATCTACATAAAAACTCTTTATTGTTGTGGTCAATTCAAGAGATACCCTTATCTCTTAATCTTTTGAACTTAACCACATTCTTTATGCAGTGTATGTACATTAAGGAGCACTAAAGAGATGGAGTTTTAATTTTTACCAATTCAATCTAAATGCAAACGTTAACCACTCACGTGATGCTTCTGTGTACATAACTAAGCATCATTATATACTAAATGAATCATCTAGAAACCTCCCGAGAGCCATGCTACTATGTAAAATATGCATTGTACTGACAAGCAGGCAAATGACATATACTTCTGTCCTCATTAATGCTCCTTTTGAATTATAGGTCGACTGATTATGGAACCACTTATGAGAAGCTGAATGATAAAGTTGGTTTGAAAACAATTCTAAGCTATCTCTACGTGTGTCCCACCAACAAGCGTAAGGTAAGATATGTATATTCAGCATGCTGCTTATTCATGATATGACTTCTTTTTTTCTCCTTAAATTTATTTGTTATGTTAATCACTGTACATCACATCATTAGTTTTTGATGTAGTGTTCCATGATTCATTCTTTGTGCATAACACCCAGTGCTCCATGCAGAACGTGCCCTCTTTTATACCCATCACCAGGCTAACGCATCCCCCCACCCCCTCCCTTCTAGAACCTCAGTTTGTTTTTCAGAGTCCATCATCTCTCATGGTATGTCTCCCCCTCCGACTTACTCCCCTTCATTCTTCCCCTCCTGCTATCTTCTTTTTTCTTAACATATATTGCATTATTTGTTTCAGAGGTACAGATTTGTGATTCAACAGTCTTGCACAATTCACAGCACTCACCATAGCACATACCTTCCCCGATGTCTATCACCCAGCCACCCCATCCCTTCCAACCCACCCCCACTCCAGCAACCCTCAGTTTGTTTCCTGAGATTAAGAATTCCTCATATCAGTGAGGTCATATGATACATGTCTTTCTCTGATTGACTTATTTCACTCAGCATAACACCCTCCAGTTCCATCCACGTCATTACAAATGGCAAGATCTCATTCCTTTTGATGGCTGTATAATATTCCTTTGTATTTATATACCGCTTCTTCTTTGTCCATTCATCTGTGGTTGGACATCTTGGCTCTTTCCACAGTTTGGCTATTGTGGACATTGCTGCTGTAAACATCGGGGTGCATGTAGCCCATCGGATCCCTACATTTGTATCTTTGTGGTAAATACCCAGTAGTGCAATTGCTAGATCGTATGGTAGCTCTATTTTCAACTTTTTGAGGAACCTCCATACTGTTTTCCAGAGTGGCTGCACCAGCTTGCATTCCCACCAACACTGTAGGAGGGTTCTGCTTTCTCCGCATCCTCGCCAACATCTGTTGTTTCCTGACTTGTTAATTTTAGCCCTTCTGAAGGGTGTGAGGTGGTATTTCATTGAGGTTTTGATTTGGATTTCCCTGATGCCGAGCGATGCTAAGCACTTTTTCATGTGTTTGTTGGCCATTTGGATGTCTTTTTGGAAAAATGTCTGTTCATGTCTTCTGCCCATTTCTTGATTGGATCATTTGTTCTTTGGGTGTTGAGTTTGATAAGTTCTTTAGATTTTGGATACTAGCCCTTTATCTAATATGTCCTTTGCAAATATCTTCTCCCATTCTGTCAGTTATCTTTTGGTTTTGTTGACTGTTTCTTTTGCTGTGCAAAAGCTTTTTATCTTGATGAAATCCCAATAGTTCATTTTTACCCTGGCTTCCCTTGCCTTTGGCGAGGTTTCTAGGAAGAAGTTGCTGTGGCTCAGGTCAAAGAGGTTGCTGCCTGTGTTCTCCTTTAGGATTTTGATGGACTCCTGTCTTACATATAGGTCTTTCAACAATTTTAGTCTATTTTTGTGTGTGGTGTAGGGAAATGGTCCAGTTTCATTCTTCTGCATGTGGCTGTCCAATTGTCCCAATACCATTTGTTGAAGAAACTGTCTTTTTCCATCGGACATTCTTTCCTGCTTTGTCAAAGATTAGTTGACATATAGTTGAGGGTCCATATCCGGGCTCTCTGTTCTGTTCCATTGATCTAGCTGTCTGTTTTTGTGCCAGTACCATACTGTCTTGATGATGACAGCTTTGTAATAGAGTTGGAAATCCGGAATTGTGATGCCACCAGCTTTGCTTTTCTTTTTCAACATTCCTCTGGATATTTGGGGTCTTTTCTGGTTCCATACAAGTTTTAGTATTATTTGTTCCATTTCTTTGAAAAAAGTGGATGGTATTTTGATGGGGATTGCATTGAATGTGTACATTGCTCTAGATAGCATTGACATCTTCACAATATTTGTTCTTCCAATCCATGAGCATGGAACGTTTTACCATTTCCTCAATTTCTTTCCTGAGTATTTTATAGTTTTCTGAGTACAGATCCTTTACCTCTTTGGTTAGATTTATTGCTAGGTATCTTACGGTTTTGGGTGCAATTGTAAATGGGATCGACTCCTTAATTTCTCTCTCTTCTGTTTTGTTGCAGGTGTATAGGAATGCCGCTTATTTCTGTGCATTGATTTTATATCCTGCCACTTTACTGAATTCCTGTATGAGTTCTAACAGTTTTGGGGTGGAGTCTTTTGGGTATACCACATAAAGTATCATATCATCTGCAAAGAGTGAGAGTTTGACATCCTTGCCGATTTGGATGCCTTTGATTTCTTTTTGTTGTCTGATTGCTGTGGCTAGGACTTCTAATACTATGTTGAATAGCAGTGGTGAGAGTGGACATCCCTGCCGTGTTCCTGACCTTAGGGGGAAAGCTCTCACTTTTTCCCCATTGAGAATGATATTCGCTGTAGGTTTTTCATAGATGGCTTTTATGATATTGAGGTATGTACCCTCTATGCCTATACTCTGAAGAGTTTTGATCAAGAAAGGATGCTGTACTTTGTCAAATGCTTTTTCTGCATCTATTGAGAGGATCATATGGTTCTTGTTCTTTCTTTTGTTAATGTATTGTATCACCCTGATTGATTTGTGGTTGTTGTACTTGCAGCCCAGGGATAAATCCCACTTGGTCAGGTCATGGTGAATAATCCTTTTAATGTACTGTTGGATCCTATTGGCTAGTATTTTGGTGAGAATTTTTGCATCCGTGTTCATCAAGGTTATTGGTCTGCAATTCTTTTTGATGGTGTCTTTGTCTGGTTTGGGGATCAAGGTAATGGTGGCCTCATAAAACGAGTTTGGAAGTTTTTCTTACATTTCTATTTTTTGGAACAGTTTCAGGAGAATAGGTGTTAATTCTTTAAATGTTTGGTAGAATTCCCCTGGGAAGCCATCTGGCCCTGGACTTTTGTGTGTTGGGAGATTTTTGATGACTTCTTCAATTTCCTTAGTGGTTATAGGTCTGTTCAGGTTTTCTATTTCTTCCTGGTTCAGGTTTGGTAGTTGATACATCGCTAGGAATGCATCCATTTCTTCCAGGTGATTTAATTTGGTGGCATACAGTTGCTCATAATATGTTCTTATAATTGTTTGTATTTCTTTGGTGTTGGTTGTGATCTCTTTCATTCATGATTTTGTTGATTGGGGTCACTTCTCTTTTCTTTTTGTTATGTCTGGCCAGGGGTTCATTCTTTCAAAGAACCAGCTCCTAGTTTCGTTGATCTCTTCTACTGTTCTCTTGGTTTCTAGTTCATTGATTTCTTCTCTGATCTTTATTATTTCTCTTCTCCTGCTGGGTTTAGACTTTATTTGCTCTTTTTTCTCTGGCTCCTTTAGGTGTCGGGTTAGGTTGTGTATTTGAGACCTTTCTTGTTTCTTGAGAAAGGCTTGTATTGCTATATACTTTCCTTTCAGGACTGCCTTTGCTGCATCCCAAAGATTTTGAACAGTTGTGTTTTCATTTTCATTGGTTTCCATGAATTTTTTTAATTCTTCTTTAATTTCCTGGTTGACCCATTCATTCTTTAGTAGGATGGTCTTTAGCCTCCGTGTATTTGAGTTCTTTCCGACTTTCCTCTTGTGGTAGAGTTCTAGTTTCAAAGCATTGTGGTCTAAAAATATGCAGGGAATGATCCCAGTCTTTTGGTACCGGTTGAGACCTGATTTGTGACCTAGGTTGTGATCTATTCTAGAGAATGTTCCATGGGCACTAGAGAAGAATTTGTATTCCTTTACTTTGGGATGGAATGTTCTGAATATGTCTTTGAAGTCCATTTGGTCCAGTGTGTCATTTAAGCCTTTATTTCCTTGTTGATCTTTTGCTTAGATGATCTGTCCATTTCAGGTGGGGGGGTGTTAAAGTCCCCCACTATTATTGTATTGTTGTCAGTGTGTTTCTTTGCTTTTGTTATTAATTGCCTTATATAATTGGCTACTGCCATTTTAGGGGCATAGATATTTATAATTGTTAGATCTTCTTGATGGATAGACCCTTTAAGTAGGATATAGTGTCCTTCTTCATCTCTTATTACAGTCTTTGGTTTAAAATCTAATTTGTCTGATACAAGGATTCCCACCCCAGCTTTCTTTTGGTGTCCATTAGCATGGTAAGTGGTTTTCCACCTCCTCACTTTCAATCTGGGGGTGTCTTTGGGTCTAAAATGAGTCTCTTGCAGACAGCATATCGATGGGTCTTGTTTTTTAATCCAATCTGATGGCCTGTGTCTTTTGATGGGGGCATTTAGCCCATTTACATTCAGGGTTACTATTGAAAGATATGAATTTAGTGATATTGTATTGCCTGTAAGGTGACTGTTATTGTGTATTATCTGTGTTCCTTTCTGGTCTATGTTGCTTTTAGGCTCTCTCTTTGCTTAGAGGACCCCTTTCAATATTTCTTGTAGGGCTGGTTTCATGTTTGCAAATTCCTTTAGTTTTTGTTTGTCCTGGAAGCTTTTTATCTCTCCTTCTATTTTCAGTGACAGCCTAGCTGGATATAGTATTCTTGGCTGCATATTTTTCTCGTTTAGTGCTCCGAATATATCATGCCGGTTGGCCTGCCAGGTCTCTGTAGATAGTTCTGTTGCCAATCTAATATTTCTACCATTTAGGTTACATATCTCTTCTTCCAAGCCTCTTTCAGGATTTTCTCTTTGTCTCTGAGACTCGTAAGTTTTAGTATTAGATGTCGGGGTGTTGACCTATTTTTATTGATTTTGAGCGGGTTTCTCTGTGCCTCCTGGATTTTGATGCCTGTTTCCTTCCCCAAATTAGGAAAGTTCTCTGCTACAATTTGCTCCAATATACCTTCTGCCCCTCTATCTCTTCCTTCTTCTTCTGGGATCCCAAATATTCTAATGTTATTTCGTCTGTTTTTTTTTTTTTTTTAAGATTTTATTTATTCATTTGAGACACAGAGATAGAGAGCATGAGCAGGGGGAGAGGGAGAAGCAGGCTCCCCGCTGAGCCAGGAGCCCGACATGGGGCTTGATCCCAGGACCCCGGGATCATGACCCAAGCTG